GGACTCTTGACCACTAGAGAACTTACTACATTCAGGACAGTGCTCTAAGTGGTCAACACATACGAATGGACTTTATTCTCAAACAACCTTATGGGGCAAGCACTACTATCAACTTCATTTTACAGATAAAGAAACAGGCCAAGAGAATTTACCCAATGTCACACAGTAGTCACAGGCAGTGCTGGGATTTGAACCCAGAGAATGTGTCTCCCTGGCCCACGCTCTTAAGCACTATGCTACACTCCCACCCTCTGCTTATTGTTCACATTTTCCAAACCAAGCCTGACAGATATGAGTGTACTTATGGGGAAGATGAAAATGAGACTTATGCTAAAATCTAGGATAAATGTCACTAAACCCAAGAGGACTTGGAAGCAGAATTCTATTTCCAAATGATTGTGGGTAGGGGATGGGGTGGGTTTGGGAGTTGGGAGAGGGGTAGTCTCAATGCAACTCTCCTTGTCACTCAAAGTGTGGTCCCTGGACCAGCGGCATCAGCATCACCTGGAAACTTGTTAGAAATAAATTCTCAGGCTTCATCCCAGACCTGCTGCTGAATGAGAAGCCGCACATTAACAAGATTCAGGGGTGCCCATAGTCCGAGAAGGATTGGTCGAATTGTTTCACTTCCTCACCACCTGGACCACGACGCTCTGGCTAATCCAAACATATGTGGAAGGCGTGTGGCCATCTGACGAGGCTGCCCATGAACTGTTCTTTCTTCATAGTGGCCCACAGTCATCCTAGAGCACCGGATCTGCCTTCAAACCAGTCTCCCACCTTCGGGGTAAAGTTAGTGGAAAGTACTCAAAAGCCTACCTTGCCCCAGCTCCCTCCCTATCCCCTGAAGCACCCCCCCCAGCCCCCTTGTCCGTTTTAGCCCTCCAAACCCCACTCAAGTCTCAGTTTTAGATTGACACACTGTCTTCTCTAGAAACATTCAAGCCCCGGTCTTCCATTCTCAGTCTCAACATTGTAAGGGGCCTCAACTACCAGCTAGACGATTTCTCCATTTCTCATAGCTCCTTTACAGCATCTCCACCTGTGGTCATCCAACCTAGGCTCAAAATGTGCCCTGTTGAGGAAAACGTATCAGCTGGTACAAATTCAATCCCCCCCACAACCTCCCACCGCCCAGCCCTCACTCTCAGGAGGACACGTCCCCTTATACATTCGGAAGCCCCTACCACGTGTCATCACTGCAGCCTGTGGCTAATGGGGGCGACGGGAGCCCTGCCAGCCCACGTGCAAGCCTTCTTTACAGGTGTGTTTGCTCTGTGGTCCTGAATAAATCACTCAGTCTGTCTAGAGTCTGGCTTCTTCAACTATGAAATCAGCTGAGGGGACCAGGAAGTACAATAACCTGTAGTTGTGACATTTGAATTGCAGCACGGTCACTTGGAGAGCTTGCAACACAGATGGTGCCCCCCCTTCCCAGGGCCACAGCTGCAGGAGGGCAGGGCAGGGCCTGAGAATGTGCATTCCTTATACTCTCCCAGGCCAAGGCTGCCGGGTGGGGACCACACTTGGGGAGCTCCTGCACTAACTGATCTCTAAAACCTTTTCCTGTCCTGCTGTGTGCTTTTCTGATCCAGTCAAATAAATATTCTACCTTATCACAGAGCTAACAAAGAGCAAGAGAAACTTGGCCTGCCTCACTTCCAAATAAACTGAGTTCTTTCTATATTTTCGTTTTCTTTCCCCTAAGTGGAGAGTCAATTCTTATTCACCTTCTAGGCTTCAAATAGCATCTTTCACAGTGCAGGAGACAATTAATCCATCTTTCTGAATGGAGTTACACAGCAGAACTAAGGCTTCTACGGAGGAGGTATCCAGAATACGGAGCAAGATAAAGCCCAGTGAAGGACAAAGTCACAAGTCGCTCAGCTGGAGGGCCCCGGCTACCCTGCCAGGAGTAAATGATCAAAAACCCAAGCTCCTCTCACACTCCACCTACAGGCCCCCACAGCAACCCATGGTCTTCCTAACTCTTCCAGAATGGAAGCAGAATCGCTTTGATAGCTTCTGGGTATAGAATCAAATAAACATGATCCTTTCAGACCACTAGTTATTTGTTCCTACCTTATTTAGCTGTGACACGTCTGATTGTGCAGTTTTTGGTTTTTGGCTTTGAGGTTAAATTTTAAATATGCAGTGTCTGCTGCCATCTGGTGGCAATTACTAGCAACTGCAGGCCATGAAATAGATAACTAAACCTGGAAGGTCCAACATTTCTTAGATTCCTGGGTTAAGCATTTGTATTAAGATTCCCAGAAAACTGAATTTTCCAAAAAAAAAATGCTTAATCTGTCACTTAAAGTTCTGAGCTGAAGCAAATAATGTTCTCACAATTAAGAGCTGCAGCTGGATTTGGGCTAAATAGCCCATCCCAGTATTTAATAGTTCATTACCAAACTTCTCTAAAACTTAACTTCCTCTTCTATGAAATACAGATGTGGATGCTACCATCTCTCCAGTGCTATGAAGATTCAACAAGGTAATGCATGTAAGTGCCTGAAACAAGGCCTGGCCCTTCATGCTAAGGCCCTGATGCAACCTCAGTGATGATGAAGTTAAGGATGATGCAAATCAGTTATTCTCAATTCCACATCAATTCCAAGCCCATGATACCAGAATGCCCCGATACCCCGGCCCACTCTCCAAAAACTGATTTAATTGGGTCTGGAGTGTGGGGAGAGAGGCAGGTAGTTGCCTAGCAGGGTGTCAGGATGGACTTAAAGTTCCCCCGGTGATTCTAATGAAAACTCTGCCATAAATGACCGACAGAAAGCCATGTGTTCGTTTGCAGGTCACTGCCCCAATCCATGAGCGGCATTTACGGAATGTGTGCTGTGGACAGAGTATAACTAGGGCATGAGAAAAAAACAGCATGGTCCCTGCTCCATTTATCACAATCCAGATGGGAGGATGAAGTGGCAGAGGGCAGGTGGTATCATGAACAGCTGTAAGTTATGGCCTGGGAAGGAGAGTTCTTAGCTTGTCAGCCTCACAGCTGCTCCCTAAGGCAAAGCCCCAGAGAGAAAGGAGAGCAGTGCAGAGAGACCGTGGGCAAGGTTTGGTTACCGGGTTGTTCTTGTATAAAGAGGAGGGGGTGGTGACAAGAAGTGAGCTGTCCACTTCCCCACTGCCTTGTCACCACCAGCACCACACATACACACGGGGAACAATTTAGCTGATACGCAACCTGTAGGCCCAGCCCAACAGCGCAGTATGACCAGCGTTTATTCAGCAGTGCCCCCAACTCTGATTATTGGCTTCATAGAAATATGATCAATAAGCCACTATAACTGATTTTTTTATTCTTTTAGTTTACTTTTTAGGACTTACGATTTTTCAGCATCCTTGCCATCTTACACTGATTTTGTTTAGATAATTAAAAACCTTTGCTTAGATTTTAGTAGGATTAGCGGTGGTAATAGCTGCAGCCTTGTGTGCTGAGTCCCTGCGGGCTGCGTACTTGGAGTAGCTCAACAGTAAATCAGCGCATGCCCACCCACCAGGGACTTCCTTCCAGTCACCCATGTGTTCATGTACATGTGTCCTCCCTTTTTATAAAGACATCCTGAGAGTCATTAGGAAGATAGCAAAGTTGATATTTTTAAATATCCGTGACATAGCAAGTTTAAAAAATCAAGTGGCACAACAATATGAACTATGCAATCAATTTATCTTTTTTAAACTAAATACATGTCTATTATATCTGTAAATAAATATATAAAATTCGGAAGGATACTCTTAAATCATGGCTCCCTCTGGGAAGAGAGGAAAAACTAGTAGAGATCACATAGAGGGTGAAAACAAGCTTTCACTTCTTCTGTATTACTCTAGGTGATGTTTGAATTTTTGCAATGAACATATATGGGTTTTATAATTTTTTTTAAATGTTAGGAAGAGTAGTCAGGACCCTAAAAAATGGATTGATATGTTGCCCATGTCTATGTATGTGGTAAGCGTGAACATACAGGTTTTGTTGCCATGTGTACATATGGTGTGCGCACGTACATAGGGTGGGTGCCTATATGAAGTATGCATGGTGTGTATGACCAGTGTGTCAGTTGCGGTGTGTGTAGACATGGATGTATACATGGTATGTACTTATATAGTGTAAGTATACACACACATAAAATTACTTTTGGCTTATGTGTTACTAAATTCGATGAAAATATAAAATGTTATATTGAAATAGCCGATTTACCTTGTAACCTCCTAAAACACTTCACATACAAAAAGGTACTTGCTGACATTTTCCCAAAGTTGAGATGATCCAATGTTTTACTTTGTCTTTATCATCTTCCCCTAAAACAGCATATACGTAAACATCTTATGTAACCAGGAACTCTTCAACCAGAGCATATTCTGATCTGAAAAGAGGGAAAAAAAATAATTAATCTAGTATTTTATTTACTAGGCCACACTATGGCCTCTAGGTAGAACGGAATCCCAAATTCTGAACTCTAAACCCTCACACAATATTATTTCTACAAAATTGTGGTGTCTGATTTGGCAACAACTCTGTTTTACATTTATAGCTAGCTTATTCTAAATTAAATTTGCATGCAATTTTTAAAAATTGTATAAGAAGAGAATTGCTGTGCCTTGGCCAGTGGCACACTAATTTAAATCATATTTAATACGACATAATTCCAGTGCGACTGGGAATTGCCATAATCCTTATTGAATTATATACATTCAAAGGGTGAACTTTATAGTATGTAAATTATCTCACTAAAGCTGCTGAAAATTTTTCTTTTTAATTTCTTCTTTATAAGGGGGCAATTCACAATCTCTATACACAACAAAAAGGTGTTTTCCTGACTGACGACCCCCTTATTTCTAGCAATACCTGGAGGGAACCACCAGACCCCAGGGCTGGGAAGGAACCAGGCAACAGGGCACTGCAGTGGCGTCTTGCCCAGGACACTCAACCACAGGGGACCTGCCTTTTCCTAAGCTGTACAAACTCTTTGCTCTTCCCTCAGGAGGACTACAACCAGCTGAGGCCGCTCTCCTACCCCAACACCGACGTGTTTTTGATCTGCTTCTCTGTTGTGAATCCTGCCTCTTACCACAACGTCCAGGAGGAATGGGTTCCAGAGCTGAAGGACTGCATGCCTCATGTGCCTTACGTCCTCATAGGGACCCAGGTTAGAGGCAGCAATGGTGGGCAGGGTGGGCCGGGCAGGAGGGCGGCAAAAAAGGAGAGACCCTTTAGGTGTCTCCTGAACATCTGTTTCACCAACACGAGAGAACAGTGTCTCAGATATTATCAGTCCGATAAACAGCCATTCTTAAGATCTGCGTGATTATTTAGCCCGTGGTCGAAAAAACAATAGAGCTATTTAATATGAAGCAGCAGGTTTTGATGTGGTCTTTAAAAATTAATCTCTCTGCTTTTTATTTTTAAATAACAAAGTACTTTTCGAAGTAGACGCCCTTCTCCAGCCCTGAGCGGGAGAAATGAGGTGGGGATGTCAATCACACTTACTGTCTAATATTTTTTGTATCTGAAATCTACAATTGTTTGGAAGTCACAAAATAGGTGTGAATGTCAAAATGACCCCAGCAGTCAGAATGGGCACATTATGACAGGAACTCCTTAACACCACTGGAAGAGGAAGACAGAAATTCATTCTCTGTTCCCTTTAAACCTGTTGGTCTTCTGGATCTTGGGAAAGAGGTTAAAAACAGATGTAAACAAACCTGTGATTGTCAAAGGCTTTGAAGTGTTTTGAAAGCTAATGAAGTTCTATGATTTGAATTTCCAACAGTAAGCCAATTGCACAAATGTGTTTGAGATTTTTCCTACTTTTTATAGTTTTGAAAGGACTGCGTTCTTCTCTACGTTAAAACCTAAATTACTATCCAAAGACACAGAAACGTAATAATGCTGACGGGTTTTATTGTTATCTGTTTCATATGCTCCTGCTTTCTATTTCTCATTTTATATTCTGTTTAACAAAGAGAAATTTTTAAAAATAGTAAAAGAAAAGTACTTCCTAGAGAAGATATGGACAGATAATTAACACATCCAAAAATCAGAATATAGTTAGTGCTTCGACTCTGAAAGATAATTGTTTAAATGCAGTCTTTTACCTTCACTCCAGGTGATAACGTTTGGCCATATTGGCCAAAATACGTGACAGGACCTAAACATCTTTGTGCAATTTGAGCCAATATTACAATTGTGGGCACTACATTGAACAATTGAGACCAAAAAAGAAGAAAAAAAACCCCACAAATTAGAAAAGCTGAGCAATGTGCTTATAAATGGAACTCTCATATATGAATACATTGGCTGTTCCTTAAAATTCAAGCCCACATTTACACCCATTCATGTATCCATAGGTTCACACACACAGTGAGATTTTAAAGCAATTAAAATATTTAATTAAATTATCAAAACTAATCCAAACATATATGCCATTTTCAAAGTAGTTCCGCCTTTGAAAAGATTAATGCTTATTCCTTGAGCAGACCCTTAGGGAATGCCAGGCCTCAGAGCCTACAGTGACATTCCTTAGAATATCCTCACAGGAGGGAAGTCTCTATCCTGGTGAGGGTAAAGACAAAGATGTATTCAGAGCCAGGAAATAGACTATTAAGAAATGAGTAGTATAATTTGGGATCAAATGAGGCATCACTGTTAGGTAATAAGACTGATCGATCATCATACATCTCCTGTAAGTGGAATCTAAAAATAAATAGGAAATTTCAAAAATGCCTGAGACACGGGCGGCTGGGTGGCTCAGTTGGTTGAGCGACTGCCTTCAGCTTGGGTCATGATCCTGGAGTCCCGGGATCGAGTCCCATATCGGGCTCCCTGCTCGGCGGGGAGTCTGCTTCTCCCTCTGACCCTCTTCCCTCTCGTGCTCTCTGTCTCTCATTCTCTCTCTCTCTCAAATAAATAAAATTTAAAAAAAAAAAATGCCTGAGACAAACCACGGGATTATTGGCATTAAGTCCTCAGCTCCCTGGGGGACTTGCTTTTGAAGAAGAAAGCACATGGAAAGCCTGATGTTTACATTTACAAAGAAATCACTTTACTTTTTTAGATGTAACATGGGCATGTGTATGTGCCTCCTTAAAGAAAAGTAAGCAACTTCATAGATCTTAAGGGAGGGGGGTGGAATCTCTACCATATGGTGGTTTAAAATCACAGTTAAAATCGCTGGTTAGGTCAAAAAAAATAAGTGAATTTATCACGCGGTTTTTTGTTTGTTTTTTTTTTTGCCAGATTGATCTCCGCGATGACCCCAAAACCTTGGCCCGTTTGCTGTATATGAAAGAGAAACCTCTCACTTACGAGCATGGTGTGAAGCTTGCAAAAGCGGTACAGTCAGATTTGAATTTCATTTTAAGTATATGCTGAGAGAAGAATCTGGTGTATGATTTGGAATGGGTGAGCTACGTAGGCTTTTGCTTTAAAGTGCAACGTGTTCGAGGATCTTCTGTCTGCTTGATGCTGTTCCCTCTGTTCTAAGTAGGCTGGAAGGGACCATTTGGTTAGCATTCTTCCCAGCCACCATTGTCTGTTTCTTGTTAAGAAAGAAACTTGGTGAATTAAACCACTGAAGCACTTATCATTTGATTTAGCAACCTTTGGAATATCCAGTTGCTGTATTTAGTGTGAATAAAGGGAGTCATTAGATATATATATTTGTACATCTTACTGCTTATTATCAATGTAATTCATTGAAATGACCCCATAAAAGGCATTTAGTGATTTCCTTGGGAAAAACTTAGATTAGCGTCTGATAGGGTTATATTTGTTCACCATCTAATGAATAGCCACTTAGAGAGGCTGGAGTATGTCACAAATAGCATCAAGAAGAGTAACATAGACCAGAGGGTAACCAGTTGAAGAATCCAAGTGCCTGCTGACAGATTAATAGCAACTAGCTCATAGCTGGAACTGTTTTCACCGACCTTTCTTCGTTCTTGAGAGCTTCACATGAATGGTGATTCTGATGGGGAAATTATTTAGACCAAATCAATTACCACCAAGATGTGTGTAACACTAAAATGAACACAAGAGGAGGAGGTGTTTTATGCAAGAGGAGGCTTTTAAATCATTTCCTTAACCTGATTCCACCTCATTGATTTAGTCACAAACACATAGGCCCGGGCCAGAGGTTTCAGAAATTGCTCTTTTTCTAAAGTAACTAAAGCTTCTGGGGGCACCTGGGTGGCTCAGTCAGTTGAACATCTGACTCTTGGTTTCAGCTCAGGTCATGATCTCGTGGTCATGAGATCAAGCCCCAAGTCGGGCTCTGAGCTCAGCGGGGAGTCTGCTTGAGATTCTCTCTCTGCCCCCATGCGACACACTGGCTCATACTCTCCCTCTCTCTCTTTCTCAAATAAATAAATAAATAAAATCTTTTTTTTTTAAGATTTTATTTTATTTATTTGAGAGAGAGAGAATGAGAGACAGAGAGCACAAGAGGGAAGAGGGTCAGAGGGAGAAGCAGACTCCCCGCTGAGCAGGGAGCCCAATGTGGGACTCGATCCCGGGACTCCAGGATCATGACCTGAGCCGAAGGCAGTCGCTTAACCAACTGAGCCACCCAGGCACCCTAAATAAATAAAATCTTAAAGTAACGAAAGTTTCTAAAGTAACTATCCCTGCAAAATGCTGGGCAGAGAAGGAGTCACCCAAGAATATTACCTACAAATTCTTTGTGAATAAAGATGTATGCGTTTCTCTTCTTTAAAATGTTCTTATAGGCACCAGGACTAAGCGATACACTCAAATAGAAATGAATTAAATAGAATTGTGTTTTTATGGATGCTACATGAGAATGTCTCACACATACTTGAGACAACACTTCCTACTTCTGTGACTCTCATGTCAGAACTACCAGTGTGAGCCATTCACCGAGTTCTTACAATACTAAGCACTTTACAGGCTCTGTCTCATTTCAGCCTCTCAGTAACCCTCTTAAGCAGATAGTGTTTGTCTCATTGTGCAGGTGAGGAAACAGAGTCTTAGGGAGATGAACATGTTGGATTCACACAGCTGATAATCACCCGAGCAACTTTAATCCAGATCTGTGGGTGTCACCGCTGTGCACCTGACCGTGGTGTAAACTGTCTCCTCCAACTATTTATTTTGCCTCCTGTAAAATGGGTACATGCTTATAGGTTCTTCTACCTCCTCCTCACACATTCAGCTTAACTTCCCTTACTAAGGCACACAGACATATAGCTCCACAGACAATTGTATATGATTCCCAGCTATGCATTTTTCACAACGAGGCGGTCCCCCCCCCCCCGGCCCAGAGAATCAGCTGGTGGATTTTGCAGTAGTTTGGTCTCTGTGTCCCTTGCTTCTGTCCTATCTCCACCATAATGTTGTCAGTGTCCTGGCCTGACCTCTCATTTAGGAAGTTGTTTTTCCCTTTGAAAAGAAGTCACTCCAAAGCCTCCCATCTCGGTTTCATATTTATTTTAGGAACAATGGCTGAGTTCACCACTTTACTGCCTTTTGCCAGTTTCTCCTAGCAACTGCTCTCAGATAGGGAGAGAATCACGTTTAGCTTACGAAATCCAATTTAGAAGAAATCCAAGCAAGAGTTTAACTTGTTTCATCACAATGCGTGTAATTATAGAGATGCCTTAAGTTTCTCTGCTCCCTGACTTTCCTGTCAAGTAGTTTATAATAACAGCTAGCATCTATGGAGTGTTTGCCGTGTGCAAGGCTTTTTGCCAAGCACTTTGCATGCCTTGTCTTAATTAATCCTCACAGCAACCCCCTGAGGTGTGTGTATTATTAGTTCCTTAGAGTTCCTAGAGGAAACTGAGGTTCAGAGAGGCGAAGGTCACACCGCTAGAAAGTGGCAGAACTGGGATATGAAACTGCTTTGACCACCATGCTCTTCTGCTTCCCTCCTATATTCTGAAAAAAAAAAAAAAAAACCCTTAGGTTTGGGGCTTCTTTTTTACATACTGAAGCCCCATATTTTAATGTGCATATTCTCCCCCATAGTTTAAATGCTTTGCACGTTCAGATTTTTCATATTCGATTCCTTTTGTTCAGTACTTTTCAACTTCCAACGCATTTTTCATCTATCATCTCTTCTTAGTCTCAAAGGGCATTTTAGTTTTAAAGGATATTTTCATATCATACATATTTACAATTCTTTACACTTGTCAAAAGTCAACCACATTTACATAAATATTTTGTATGTTGATGATAAATATTCATTGTTATCCCTCTACTTGTTTTATCCTCCCTCTTCTTGTCGTTACTGCTTTTCTTAATCTCCAGCCAACTTTCCTCATCTGCACCTGTCCTTACTATTCCTGGGTTTACTTGTCGATAACTCACCAAACACCTAGTGTGTGCCAGGTGCCTTGCTACACTTTAGCTTGAAGATTATAATTCTTGGTGCATTCTCTTTCCCAATTCCATTTGACACAACCTAAACCTGATTTTCTAAGTTCAGACTTCCTAAGGTATTTCTTGACAAAACGTTCCCCCTTTTTCAGCCTCTGGCCTCTTTGTGCCCTGTTCTGCGGTCTCCACCCTGGGCCTTTCTTACTATTGTTCTCACTCTTTGCCTTGGTACCTGTTTCTTGCTGGCTTTGGAACAGGCATGCACCAGTGGGTTTAAAGCAGCAAAATTGCTGCAGAAATCCTGTAATCAGTGTTCAATCATGTTTTTTTTTCCAAGATTTTATTTATTTATTTATTTATTTATTTATTTGAGAGTGAGCAGGAAGGAGAGGGAGAGAGAATCTGAAGCAGACTCCACACTAAGTGCAGAGCCCGACACAGGGCTTGATCCCACAACCCTGAGATCATGACCTGAGCTAAAACCAAGAGTCAGACACTTAACTGACTGAGCCACCCAGGTGTTCCTCAATGTTCAGTCATCTTAATCGACCAGAGTCTTTAATACCCACCTACTGAGGTGCTTAGGTGGCTCAGTCGGTTGAGCATCTGCCTTCAGCTCAGGTCATGGGTTCCTGGATTGAGCCCCGCATCGGGCTCCCTGCTCAATGAGGAGTCTGCTTCCCCCTCCGCTTCTCCCTCTGGCTCGTGATCTCTCCCTCTTGCTCTCTGTTAGATAAATAAACAAAATCTTTAATAATAATAATAATAATAATAATACCCACCTACTGACTGCAAAAGTCACCGTTACCCTCCTTGTTTTGTGTGCTGGCCATCGCTTCTTTTTCTCATGGTCATTGAAAATTGGTTGCCGAAATGAAGCCCTTTCCCTCAAGAGGCCCATAGGCCAAAAGAGGAAGGTGACCAGCAAACAAAAGCATGCCTCCTGAATGAATACTTAGTACTGAGGTAGCGGGGGGGGGGGGGGCCGGGGGGGAATGATGGACACATTCAGGGAAGGAGGATTCCAAGACAACTTCTCAGAGCAGGTGACATCTGAGCCAAGTTTGAAGGATAAGGACAAGTTTGTCAAGTGGACAAAGTTGGGGACTAGGGAGAAAAAAATTCCAAATAGAGAGACCAGTATATGTAAAGGCATCCTTTAAAGCATAGGGAGTACATTGGCAAGCGATGAGCCAAATTTCACCCACAAATGCTTTCATCAGTCCACACATGTATTTTTAATGTGATCTGGTGGCCAACATTGAACAATGGAAAGTTTTCATGAAGATACACATTTCTGTCTTCTAAAAAAAAAAAAAAATCAGAAGGTCTGGCAACACTAGGCCAGCATTTCCTCATCACCTGCAATCCTTCAACAGTCTTTTAGACAAGGTATGTAACCTTCAGTTTGCCACAATCCCCACCACTCCATTAACCTGCACTCGAGCAGTGCACTCACGTTATCTAGCCACCCCTGTGCTGGCAATTGCTGTTTTATAGTCTTAGAAAAAAAATCAGCTGCAAATCCATCCAGCCTAGAAACATTTTTCCTCTTTGAGCAATTTGTTATGATGAAATTTATCGCACAAGCTGTTGGGTTCCTTTTCCTTTTCTTGGCTTTTAAATTGCCTGTACCTTTCCTAATTCTTAAATAAGCGAGAAAAAACTTCTCATTCACTGGTTGTTGAGATACCAGCTTCCTCTGTTTATTCCACTAATATTTTCTCTTCTCTCCATTTATAGGAAATGCCTTACTCTTTCACCCCATCGTCTCTCATCACCCTCATTACATCCAAAACAACATCTCCGTTTGTTCATTAGTTTTGCTCTTTCGGCCACATCTCTTTTCATTTGCTAGAGGCAGCCCCACAGAGTGGTTAAGACTCTGGCTCAGGGGACAAATTCAAACCTCTGACATTGTTTTAGTCGTGTGCCCTTCCGGAGGGAACCTCTTCTCTCTGGTGTCAGTTTGCTGAGCTGCAAATGAGGATGGTGACGGACCTACCTTGCAAAGTCCTTACAAGGATTAAGTGACCCAAAGAAATGTGAGGTCCAGCTCAGCAAACTATAGTTGTCATTAAATTCATGTGCCTCTCAGAGGCATCTATAGCTGGGAAGACCTCTTTGCCTTTATTTCTTCCATTTATTCTATAACATGTCCCACCTCCACCAAGACAACCTGGAAGAAGTAGGAGGTTTTCTTTCACTTGATTGGTCACTGTGGGTTTTGTTGGTCCATTGGTTTGTTTGTTTCATTTCTTCTTGTCAGACTCTTGTATGTTCTCTACATGTCTGATAAATTTTCCAGCTTGGGGGTGATAAATTTCAGCTATCATAAAGCCATGAAAAAAGTGTTCTCTCAGTGTACATTCCTCAATCTCTATTTTTTTTTTCTGGAAAATAAATCATTTTGGCAAAGCATGTCACAGATTGCTAATGTGTGTATCTAAACAAGCATCCACAAATCCTGAGCTCTTACAGATTGTTGTAAATATTTGGCTTTGTAGGTCACTTTGCTCCAAGAGGCCGTGGAAGCTATAAGGAAAGCCATGTTTCCTTGAGACAGTTTTCCATTTCACACTTTTGAGGTCATTAATGAGGTGGTTTCTTTTTAGCAATGTCTATAACATGGCTGTGCCTTTTCCCTGAACCAGGGTGAATGAAGTCTTCTTTCTGACCCAGAGCACTTGATACATGGTAAACAAAATACTCACCTCCTAATTGGGTTCTCTTTCTCACACATAGTTCCCAAATCACACCCAAAATCTGTTGGCTACTTTTCCTGGAACTCTCAGTCCGAAACAATGTTATATTAACGCAGTTACACAATAATGCCTTGATCCACTGTTTGGTTATCTTCAGAAATATCTGAATTGGGACAGACGCATCTGGGCTCCTCCTCCACCTTCAGAAGGCAAGCTGTGCCAAGCTGTTAGCAGCGCTCTGGAGGGAGGACAACACACGCCCCCCGCCCATCTTGCAGGATCAGATGGCCCAGAGCCCCACGTGTGAACTGAGCCCAGCTCCCCTGTAATTTCCGGAATCAAGTGAGGCTTGGGAATCATAGCAGGGAGGCATTCCAGGCCGGGTGGCCCCACAGCACTCTCTGTGGATATTTTTTCAGGATGACAGAGAAGAGGCAGCACATTACAAGCAGTCGTTCAGTTGACATCTTCACTAGAGTGGTGTGCGTTTCACACGCTCATAGTGCTGGCTACAATCCCAAAACGTAATCGATGATCTTTCATGACATTACTAGGAAAATTTTCTCTATTTTTTATCCCTCTTTTGCATCCAACTGTTTTTAATGATTTTAAAAAGACATTTTGTTTGTTTCAGAGGTAGAGTTTAGTGATTCATCAGTTGCATATAAAAAAGCCATCTTTTAATCCAAAGGCCAAACCATGGTTAAAATGAAACCATAATATAGGTTCTTAATATCCAACATCTTTCCTGTGGGTATTTTGCCTTAGCTCGCACAGTATCTATTCTTTATAGGAAAAAAAAAAGTGCATAATATCTGGACCCAACCAGAAAAACTTTATTTCATGCTTAGTTTTTGATCAGCTTCTTTTTTTTTTTAAGATTTTATTTATTTATTTATTTGAATGAGAGAGCACAAGCAGGGGGAGTGGCAGAGGGAAAGGGAGAAACCCACGTGGGTCTCGATCCCAGGCTGAGCCGAAGGCAGACAATCAAATGAGCCACCCAGGCGCCCCTTGACCAGCTTCTTGAAGAGTTGAGTGATAAGGGTAATCGTCATGAAACAAAGAAAAGAATACACACCAAGAGACCCAGATTCTGGTCTAGTTCTTCTACTTTCTGGTTGGGTGCCCTTCAACAATTCATTTTCCTTCTGGGGCTGTTCCCACTCTATCCTAAGCTAAACTACAAATTCCTTTAGTCCACTCATTGCGAACTGGCTAGTCGCTGACAAAGAAATCACACATTAGTGTCTTGGTTGGCCCACAGAGTATTTTCTAAATTGGTAATTATTAACTAAAAATCCAAAAGTCCAACTGTACAAAGATGGGCAACAGCGAACCACGGCAATGACTTTGTCCACAGCTGGGTAAGACTGCTAGCTCTGGAGGGGGTGTGTGCTTCAGGTCCGCCCCAGTTTCCACCTGTCCCTCCTGTCTGGCACCCGCCCTGCTTTCCTCATTCACGGAAGCTACTGGAATAGGCATGTGATTTTGCTACCCTTCTTTAGTCATGTAACTGCTGTGGCTTCCAAGGGCTCACCATCCAGCTACCCTCTTGTGAATCTGCTTTGGTTCTTCAGTGATTCTCATAATGTGAAGTATATAATAAAAGCATTTCTCCAGACGTCCCTGATATTAAAAGGCCCACATTATATTATTAGCTCATACCAAGCTTATGAGCAATTAAAACCCTGAGTCTCCCTCACGTGAACAATCTCATGAATTTGACTGCCAAACATGGTCTGCTCTGGCTTGCTATTTTTTAAATGAGAAGCTCTAGTTTGGACTGAATTCCTATATTTCTCAAAGGGATTTTTGTGATTATCAAATATACCATAGTATGAAATCATCAAAAGCTTTGAAATAAAGCCCTAAGCAAGAACAAAATATTTTTATCATTTAAGTACACATAGAATGTATACTAACAAGGAGGGTGTCTCCATCAGCAAATGTATTTTATGATTTTTATTTTACATGTTTTGGGTTTTTCAACTCCTTAGAAATATGTCTTTTAAAGTATGTTAAAACCAAATAATAATACCAATTGGATATTACCTTGCTGAGACAGACTTCATCAAAAGTGCATTTTAGTGAAGAATGACCAACCTTATCACCCAGTCCCTTTCTATATGCTTTACCAACCAAGTTGACACTTTGCCTTCCCGCTTACAGAAGGAGATACATTTCACTTGTACCACATTTACACATTCCGCATGCATATGAAAGGGTGCTAAAAACAACATCATGTAGCCCTGTTGTTCACAAAGTATATTTAAACCATATCACTGCTTTTGAATCCTCTCTCAATTTTTACATTTGTTATATTCTTATATTAGGAATGAGTGGCTATGGCTCACTTTCAGAACTTACTGCTTAACCAAAAGCAATCCACAGCCATTTATTGCTAATATCAGAAAGTAAAAATTAAGAAAGTAGATGCAAATGGAAATGCAAAAAAACAAAAAAACGAAACAAAACAAAACCACCCCAGGGCTGTTTGTGGGACAAGGAGAGGTAGCACTTGGCTGGGCAGGGGGCTGATCCCACTCTGCTTTTCTCTTTTCTTTCCCTCTCACGCCTTTCTTTCTCCCTTTTGTGTTGAAGATCGGAGCACAGTGCTACTTGGAATGTTCGGCCCTAACTCAGAAAGGTCTCAAAGCGGTTTTTGATGAAGCAATCCTCACCATTTTCCACCCCAAGAAAAAGAAGAAACGCTGCTCTGAGTGTCAAAGCTGCTGTTCAATTATCTGAGGCTGCTGGGAGGCCGGCCCCCACCCACCTAAGGGTGAGAGGGGCGCCGACCTCTGAGACCAAGCTCAAGCCACGAAGGAGGGCGAGACCAGAGAGGAAGTCCCTTTGCACGGAGCCTTGCTCCTCCACTCCGGGAGCCCCCACCACCACCCGCAAGCACAGCACACAGCTGCCACGTCCCCCCTACCAGCCCGAAGCGTCCACATTGCACAATCTGTGAGAACGCTGAGCCCGCCGGAGGTCACCCAGCGCCGCTGCTGACCATGTTGCAAACGAAGGCAAAGACCATGTTGCGTTTTGCGCCTCCCCTCCACGAACGTGAAGCTGATGATAGGGAGCCATCCCCAAGAAACAGGAAGAGGAACTCGGTTCCTGTATTGGTGGCCTTACCCCGTGTCTTCTACAAAACACAGGAATACTGAATCTGTTGTTCGACCTATGTGTCTGGCATTTATTTGTATTATTTTAAGAAATGTACTAATTTACCAATTTACTCAGGCCTTACAAGTCCATACCAAATTAGCCTAAAGACAAAATATTTTTTATTCATTTCCATTTTCAGCCTGTTTCTACCAAAGCTATTAGAACCAGCACTTACCTCTGAATGCCTGACTGTAAGAAGAAAACAAGAAAATGTTACAACTTTTGGAAATTTACAAAGCCAAGATTTTTGAACCTGGTTGAAAGAGAAACACCACCTGAATTGTTTCCGGGCCACACTTGTGCCAAAGATTCACCCTGGAAATGCTTTCGCTGATGGGCAGCCTTATTTTTCTTCTATATTTATATTGTCATGGCAAATTACAAATGAACTATGTTCAAGAAAGTAGTACTTCTGCTTTTTAATCAAACTGGGGGAGAATATGGCAGACCTAGGTTTTAAAATATTCTTTATTCAGCAAAGTGAACTTCCCTGCTCCCTCCCTTCCCGGGCTCATGCCCTTTTCCTCCCTTAATTTCACTTTCTCCCTTGCCCAACAGTAACTTGATCTAAAAGAAAGACCTGGCCATGGGGCATGAAAAAGTAAATGTTTAAAAGTCCCCAAAGGTTAAGCAAAGTGTTTCCATATTTCCACTTGCTTCAACCTGAAGGGTTTCTCAGCTTGGCCCACGTCTGCTCCCACCTTTGTTTAAATGACATTTTCCAAGTGCAGCTGGTACTAATATATTGCCTCTCCCTATTTCCTACACTCATTGTCCCAAATGTGCATTTAAGGGACGGATCTGTGGGTGCCAAGCTCTGAATCTGTTTATCCCCTGCTTTCAAAATGCTGTGTTCTGTAGAACAGGACCTTCGGTCTTGGAAAGTAAAAGCCCCCAGTAAAGAATGATGTGCCCTTTCTATATGTCTCTTCCAAACAGCCAGGGATTCTTGTATCACAGAGTGAATTATTTCCTAGCTTTTAATTAGAGACGATAAAGTCTCCTAATTAGTCTTATTTGTTTACAATTACCCGGGAAACACCCAGGTAGGCACTTTACTTTTTATTTCAATTGCATAAGCCAAGTGCCTCTTTGCAGCATCAAATTACACCGATTTTAGCATAACAATTTCCGGATTCACACTCCTTCTGTTGGAAAAATCCAGTCTTTCTAGTCCCTTCTGCTCCTGGAGGAAGCCCATAAAAAAGAAACATATGATGTGGGTCTTTTCTGTTAAGACCTTCCATGACATCCCCTCAGTTGTTTGGGTTTGTTTGTTTGTTTAGAATTTCTGAAATAAGTTTTCCCTTCTTCCACGTTTCAAGACCTATTTCCCTGCTCTCCCATCTAGTCGCTAAACATTTTCTTAAACACGTACATACACGCGCACACACAGACACACACACACACACCCCAAACTAAAAGAAAACGGGAGTTTTGTAAGTCAAAGCTTGACATTTAGAGACAACTAGGACTTTCTTCCTCTGTAAATGGAAATCAACCGTGCATAAACTATAACTCTGCAGAGGTTATGGATTCATTCTTTACGAACAATAATGAGCATTTAGCCCTGTAATAAATGAAATGCTGTGTTAGCCAGCTTTGTTGCATTATTGCATAATTACATCTTACTAAAGGGCCATTCCTCACTTCTCATTAATGTGGATGAAAAAGTCAGAGCTGTATGTTTGCTCCACCAAGGAGAATTTTCCAGATGTGTGCATCCAATAGGCAAATGGTTCCCCAGGCCATCACCTCCCTACTGGATCACGGGGATTAACTTGTTCACAGTGAGAGGATCATCCTCTCACCTAGAACCAGAACCCGAAGAGAGACTGTTACTGTCTGGGTGGAGAGGATCCTAAAGGTCATAGGAGCTCATTATTAAATAAAATAATGAAGAACAAAATGACCTAAATGAGTTAATGTCATTCCACCAAATTAACTATGTATTCCCTGTTTCATGGGAAGAGGTAGTTCATTTCACTAAAAAGTGTTTCCTGCCATAAGATTAAACAAAACTATATTCTGAAGCCAAAGATCAGAAGAGATTTGAAAGAAGGATCTGAAGAAGAATCCTTCACCCTTGGCCATCTGCCAAAGTCAAGAAGGGGCAGCCAATCTCCACTGGAGGGTAGAATCTTAGCTTTTCAAAGTTAGAAGAGGCCCCAGAAAATATAGTCCAACTCCCTCATTCTACAAATGAGGAAACTCAAGTCTGGATGGGTCAAAAGAAATGTGTTGTGCAGAGCTCAAACAGACCTCAGCCATTCTGCTTCTCATCCACAGCCCTGAACTCCACACTGTAATCTGTTCATTATCACAGATACTAAGTTATAGTTTTGCAGGTGTATTATTGCAGTTGCATTTGTTCATCCTACAGATCTTAGCCCCATTTCAAATACATGACTTAGGCCACCATAAATTAGATAATCCATCACACTAGTAATTACCTAGAGACAAGAATTTGCTCTGCAGTATGCTTGGAATCCACAATATACAATGTACTACAATCCCAATCTAATTGCACAGTATACAGCAATGTAATCAAGTACCTGGTTTGACAGATATTTTTCTTCTCAGTCAAATGGTTGGTTATTTGGCAGAATTAATGGACTCCTTGGGCTATTTTGGAAACACAAAAGACTACCACAAGAGTCAAAGCCTTGTCACGGTAAGTAATCTGGGCTGATTTCTACCAAGAAAAGGTATACTCAAAGAACAATTACTGAATGCAATAGCTACAGCAAGCCTAAACCAAGAAGCAGTAAACTGGGAAATGAAAAAAATAAGTCATACACATATGACAGGAAGGAAGTTTTGGTCCTGAGACTCCAATAACAATATGTCTGATCATGATACGCAAAGAACCATTTGGAAGATTTCTGGTCCATAAAAGAAGTGCCAGATGCAGTGGATGTAACCATACACAATTTTCATAGAACCATCAATGAGGAAATAATATTTAACTGGTAGTAAAGGGGGAATCACAACCATGCTCACAATTTTAGGAGAAATTAAAGAAAGTTAAACCCCAAACTTGAGGCCAACAAAAATGTGCATTATGTAGAGTGTAGGTTCTTGTGAGCAGTTAATAACCTCACCAAGTAGAGTGTTCAAAAAGAAATACTTGACCTGAGGTAAACATTTAAAGATGTATTATTGCATTCACAAAGGCAAACTCATCCATGAGACCAAGTGATAGAAGATTAGAAATTGAGGTTTTGCTTTAAAGGAATGTTTGGCACCATGCTGGAGATGATTATCTAGCCCTTTATGTCTTCGGCCTCTATGTTTGGATGCCAGAATGCAATATGTGCCTTCTCTCTCAACAGTGAGAACCACAGGTCACCTGCTACTCTCTTATAAGTCATTGAGTAGGCTGCCCAAGTACAAATAAGGAAACTCAACAGAATATTTTCATCTCAAGAACCATTAGGAACAGAAAGGGAAAAAGAAGATGGGGAAACTGAGTTTCTTACAAAGGAAATTAGGTACTTTTAAATAGGAATCATTTAGAGAATGGAGAGAAAACTAAAACGAAACACAAGGCAAAACACACACACCTGACAATTCTCCCAGGCAGGGGCTAAGTTCTGCCTCGCCTCCAGAGCCCTAGGGAAGAAAGGAGAACTGTTCATGTGAAGAGCATCCCAGAGTGAGCCTAGAGGGCTCATCATATGATAATTCTAGATAATTCCACCTCACCATTCCTTAAAAATGATGAAATTCTGGACAGTGCTCTTTGGGTCTTCGGGAGCAATGTGGGTGGGTCATCATGCTCACATCTTCTCTGCTAATATGGAGCAAACGGGAAATTTACCAAGGAATATGAGTGAATCAATTATCTTAAAAGTTTTTTAAGCACTAGCATGACTTAAAATCTGAAAAGGATGACTTTGTGATATCTGGAAAGACAGTAACTTGTATAAAAGGTATGTCTTCATCTTCAGTGGACTATCTCCAAATAGAACAATGGCCTCTAGCATGCACAACAACAGTAACAGAACTCAAAAACATGAGCTAAAGCAACAATGCCTGGTGCTTCAGTGTCAGCAAAGCCCAGAAAGGAGATGAAAATGCTGAGCTCCACATAGAGGTGCTTCGGGCTTCAGAGGCTGGGCAGCGCTCATCGGAGATCTCCGTGGGTTAGGGGAGGAATGAGTCAAGGAGGATTTGGCTCATCTGTGAATTCAGGGATACAAGTTCAACAACCGTTCTTAGCTTTTAACTTCCAGGACAGGAAATCAGAGTGAAAACTGCATGATTCGTCTTGGTCACGATCTATTTTTTTTTCTCCTTAGGGAATATTATGTCAAAATCCAAAGTCGTTTTGTGCGTGTGTGCTTTAAACATGTTCTACCCTGGTAATTTCATTGTGTCCTGAGTTCTGCAGTGGCTCAGAAGCTTCTTGCTCTTATAGCCAGAGTGATTTTGTTGTATCTTCAGCCATGTCCTCCAAACCTCTCAGTGTATGCAGTTATCTTTGACGAACGGGGTCTGATCAGTTTTTTAGGGGATATGATGTCTGGGGCAATATAAGGAGAGGGTCCCCAAGGCACAGAACTGAGTCTCACCATACAAGCCATATTAGCTCCCCGAGCTTCCCAGTAACCCTGTGCGTGCCCGTCTTTTGAGTTTATGTTAATTCTTCTCAGGAAGAAGCAGTAAGACTTTCATGGCAGGATGGTATGTTTGGGACAGCTTTGTAAATACATACCTAAAATTACCACCACCTGCCATTTTTTAAATCAAATTTTTTAAAACAATCCTCTCCTAGAGGAACCATGGGCAGGAAGGTTAATGAATTCTACATTCTTCGCATCACCTGGCTTAAATTGTTTTTTTGCCCTGAGTAAACAGTAATTACCATTTAAGTACATCTCAGCAAAATTTTATCCCAACTGAAACAGTCCATGTTGCTCCCCATGTGATCACTACGGGGGGAACAATAGACAAGGGAAGGACTTTGCCTTTCTTACAACCTGCTTCT